GGACTAAAAAGTAGAGCGCCTAGGGCAAACTAATCATGAAAAACCGGACATTTTGAGATACTTTTGCAGTCGTTGCACTGGCAAGGACTAAAAAGTTAAGCGCCTAGGGCAAAGTAATCATGAAAAACCCATTGTTAATATTCCATTCCTGTTCTGTTCAAAATAAATGTTTACATGTTTAAAACACTTACCGACTGATCCTTCCCCTGATTCAGGGTCACGGTTAACGCCTTGGGAGGGTTGGTAGGGGATCTCCGTGAGGGTGATGAAGAGATCCTGGCTGTCAGGGAAATCAGCGTTGTAAGCGCTGTCAACTGCCTCGTCCTCCTCATCTCCTTCCTCATCTTCCCCGTCCGTGAACATCTCCGAGGAAGCAGCCGTCGACAATACCCCATCGTCAGAGTCCACGGTCACTGGTGGGGTAGTGGTGGTGGCCGCACCTAGAATGGAATGCAGTGCCTCGTAGAAACAGCTTGTCTGGGGCTGGGATCCGGAGCGTCCGTTTGCCGCTTTGGTCTTCTGGTAGCCTTATCTCAGGTCCTTGATTTTCACGCAGCATTGCGTTGCATCCCGGCTGTATCCTCTCTCCATCATGGCTTTGGAGATCTTCTCATAGATCTTTGCATTCCGTTTTTTCGATCGCAGCTTGGAAAGCACGGACTCATCGCCCCACACAGCGATCAGATCCAAGACTTCCCAATCAGTCCATGCTGGGGCCCTCTTTCTATTCTGAGATTGCATGGTCACCTCTGCTGGAGAGCTCTGCGTCGTTGCCAGTGCTGCTGAGCTCGCCACGATGTCCAAACAGGAAGTGAGATTCAAACTGGCCAGACTGGAAAAGGAATTCAAATTTTCCCGGGGCTTCTCCTGTGTGGCTGGTCAGAGCATCCGAGCTCGGACTGCTGTCCAGAGCGTCAACAGAGTGGTGCACTGTGGGATAGCTCCCGGAGCTATTAGCGTCAAATTCCATCCACACCTACCCAAATTCGACATGGCCATGTCGAATTTAGCGCTACTCCCCTTGTCGGGGAGGAGTACAGAAATCGATTTAAAGAGACCTCTATGTCGAACTAAATAGCTTCGTTGTGTGGACGGGTGCAGGGTTAATTCGATTTAACGCTGCTAAATTCGACATAACCTCCTAGTGTAGACCAGGCCTAACAGATTTATTTGGGCATAAGCTTTCGTGGGTAAAAACCTCACTTCTTCAGATGCATAGAGTGAAAGTTACAGATGCAGGCATTATATACTGACACATGGAGAGCAGGGAGTTACTTCGCAAGTGGAGAACCAGTGTTGACAGGGCCAATTCAATCAGGGTGGATGTAGTCCACTCCCAATAATAGATGAGGAGGTGTCAATTCCAGGAGAGGAAAAGCTGCTTCTGTAATGAGCCAGCCACTCCCAGTCCCTATTCAAGCCCAGATTAATGGTGTTAAATTTGCAAATGAATTTTAGTTCTGCTGTTTCTCTTTGAAGTCTGTTTCTTAAGTTTTTTTGTTCAATGATAGTGACTTTTAAATCTGTAATAGAATGACCAGGGAGATTGAAGTGTTCACTTACTGGCTTATGTATGTTACCATTCCTGATGTCCGATTTGTGTCCATTTATTCTTTTGCGGAGGGACTGTCCTGTTTGGCCAATGTACATGGCAGAGGGGCATTGCTGGCACATGATGGCATATATAACATTAGTATATGTGCAGGTGAATGAGCCCATGATGGTGTGGCTGATGTGGTTGGGTCCTATGATGGTGTCGCCAGAGTAGATATGGGGACAGAGTAGGCAACGAGGTTTGCTACAGGGATTGGTTCCTGGGTTGGTGTTTCTGTGGTGTGGTGTGTAGTTGCTGGTGAGTATTTGCTTCAGGTTGGGGGGTTGTCTGTAAGCGAGGACTGGCCTGCCTTCCAAGGTCTGTGAGAGTGAGGGATCATTTTCCAGGATAGGTTGTAGATCATGGATAATGCACTGGAGAGGTTTTAGCTGGGGGCTGTATGTGATGGCCAGTGGTGTTCTGTTATTGTCCTTGTTGGGCCTGTCCTGTAGTAGGTGATTTCTGGGTACCCGTCTTGCTCTGTCAATCTGTTTCCTCACTTCCCCAGGTGGGTATTGTAGTTTTACGAATGCTTGATAAAGATCTTGTAGGTGTTTGTCTCTGTCTGAGGGGTTGGAGCAAATTCGGTTGTATCTTAGGGCTTGGCTGTAGACAATGGATCGTGTGATGTGTCTTGGATGGAAGCTGGAGGCATGTAGGTACGTATAGCAGTCAGTAGGTTTCCGGTATAGGGTGGTGTTTATGTGACCATCACTTATTTGCACTGTAGTGCCCAGGAAGTGGATCTCTTGTGTGGACTGGTCCAGGCTGAGGTTGATGGTGGGGTGGAAATTGTTGAAGTCCAGATGGAATTCTTCAAGGGCCTCCTTTCCGTGGGTCCATATGATGAAGATGTCATCAATGTAGCGCAAGTAGAGGAGGGGCACTAGGGGACGAGAGCTGAGGAAGCATTGTTCTAAACGCTTTCTAAAGTCACATGTACTCTGTCTCACAAAATTCTGAACCTTCTGGTTATTTCAGGAACATCAGGTTATTTATTTCAAAGGGTATTCCTGTCTGAAAAAAATACATACATGTGGATAATCTGTTTGTAATGTGTATATATCATTTTGTCTAATCTTATCAAACTATCAAAAAGTTAAGAAAGAAGCAGTCATCATTAGCATCTCTTCTTTGTGCAAGATAATAAGTACTGTAGGAAGAAGAGAATGAATTTTAGTGAAACTATTTCTCAGTATCGGAAATATTAGGAGGTCTCACAGATCCCTTCTGAACATAAGAGCAGTAAGCACTTCTGTAGTAATGGATTTCAGAGTAGCAGTCGTGTTAGTCTGTATCCGCAAAAAGAACAGAAGTACTTGTGGCACCTTAGACACTAACAAACTATTTGAGCATAAGCTTTTGTGGGCTACAGCCCACTTCATCAGATGCGTAGAATGGAACATATAGTAAGAAGATATGTATACATACAGAGAACATGAAAAGGTGTAAGGTGCCATACCAACTCTAAGAGGCTAATTAATTAAGATGAGCTATTATCAGCAGGAGGAAAAAAAACTTTTGTAGTGATAATCATTTCAGACAGTTGACAAGAAAGTGTGAGGATATTTAACATGGGGAAATAGTTTCAATTTGTGTAATGACACAACCACTTCCAGTCTCTATTCAAGCCCAAGTTAATGGTATCTAGTTTGCAAATTAATTCTAGTTCAGCAGTTTCTCGTTGGAGTCTGTTTTTGAAGCTTTTCTGTTGCAAAATTGCCACCTTTAAGTCTGTTACTGAGTGACCAGAGAGGTTGAAGTGTACTCCTACTGGTTTTTTAATGTTATGATTCCTGATATCAGATTTGTGTCCATTTATTCTTTTGCGCAGAGACTGTCTGGTTTGACCAATGTACATGGTAGAGGGGCATCTATCAATGTGATATATGCCAGCAATGCCCCTCTGCCATGTACATGGTAGCTTTTATCTTTGTAATGATGCACAGAAAAATTAAGTGACTTGAGCATGATCGCTTAGGGTGAAATCCTACTCTTAATGAAGTCAGTGGCAAAACTTCATTGACTTCAGTATAAGAACCACCAGGCCCTCCATGAGACTCCCAGTCATGTGCTCTAACCACTAACCTACTCTCGCCCTCCTTCTGAATTAAAATAATGGTGATTGCTCTTCATAATGATTGAAGTAGAGCACATATGGCATAAAATGTAAAATGGATAGATTTAGTATGGTGGATGTAACATAAGTTACCCTTTTAAAGGTGACCTACAAAGGAAAGATATGTTTGTGATCTTTCTTGTCTTTTTATGAAGAACAAGTTTAAAGAAGGCTTGAAAATTAATTTTTTATCTTAAAAAAGGAGGGATTTTTAGATGTTTTTTGTTGTTAGAAATATCTGGACTTGACTTTCCCGTGTTTCCTAGAAGACTCCTTAGTCAGACTGTTTGAAACTATTTTTTTTTTTTTTTTTTTTGTTAACACATATTAACTCAGAGTTTTAACTCTGCAGGGAGTGGGAGGGAAGGAAGATTAAAGATCCACCCATGCCTAGTTCTTTAGCTTAGGTCCAGGCAGAGGTGAAAGTAAGCTGGTCTGGTACAGCGTACTGGCAAGAGCCGGTACACCGCTGACTGCATTGGCAAGGGGCAGCTTCCCCAGCTCAGCGATTTAAAGGGCTTGGGGCTCCTGGCAGCAGCCAGAGTCCCGGGCCCTTTAAATTATCGCCAGAGCCCTGCTGCTGGAGCCCTGGGACTCCTGTCCGCCGCCGCACTTACTGCTCCTGCCGTGATTTAAAGGGCCCGGGGCTCCCAGCTGCTGCTACTGCAGCCAGAGCCCCAGCCCCTTTAAATCTCCATTTAAAGGGCCTGGGGATTTAAAGCCCCTGCTCTTCCGGTTGAGACCCCACCCCTTCCGATTGAGTCCCCACCCCTGCTCAGGACTCCGGCGTACCGGCAAGTCCTTTAAGTTACTTTCACCCCTGGGTCCAGGTCTCTAATCATTCAGCAAAAGAGGGAAGACAAAACTTTATATTCCTGATATATCTAAGGTTAAAAATTGATCTTAAAAAAATCGTTTACAATAATTTAGGTCTTTAGACACCATAAAGGAAAACTCAAAAATGGGAAAAGCCAATAGTTAATTTTTTCTTTGTTGGTCACTTATGTATGTGTCCTCCTTGTGGATTGGTCAGTATGCCAGCCTGGGCATAATAAAGTTTAGGCCTCAATCCTGCAAACACTTATGCGCATATTTAACTTCATGCATGTGAGTATTCTTAATAAACTGTACTAGACTACTTGTATGTAAAGCTGAGAATGTGTTTCAGCATTTGCATGGTCAAAGTCTTAGATTGTACACCAAATTTCTAACACTTAGTACTTTTAATAATTTTGTCTATTTTGTATGTATAACATCTTTGATATCTGAATTGTTTAATTTGTTTAGATTGATTTTTCTTCAGTAAAGCACAAGATGCAGGACAAAACACTAATAAATATTCTGAAGAAATGGCGTACTTATGTGGTACGTTTGAATCTTCGTGGTTGTTCTTCTCTTCACTGGCCAAGCTTTAAAAGTATTAGTAAGTATTTTAATATTTTTTAGTTCTGTCTCTTCATTTCCCTCTCACTTGCATCTTTTTCTTTTATCACATGCCTCACTCTATCACTAGTTTTTTTCCTGCTTTGCAGCATATGAGCTTCCCTACAATTCCAGCCATGGCAAAGCATAATGAATATGGGATCAGTAGGCTCCTTTAAATTGCTTTTCTCCACTACTCTCAGTTTCTAGGCACTATAATAGCCTTTTAGCTTAGCAGTATTAGAGTTGTATAGAATAACTTTTATTACGTTGGAGATACTGTGAATATAGTTTGACAAATGAGGCTGGAATGCAAACTTGTGCTTAAATGTACATGCCAGAACCCAACTGCACTGAGGTAATTATAACAAAACTCAGATGTACACAATACTGTGATGATGTATTATCATTTAAAGTTGAAGTCACAATATTCAATGTCTGGGAAATCTTGATTTCCAGCATCAAAGGGTTAAAAATGGAGGTGGGGAATACACTAATGAAGACTTGTCCAGTTTTTTATGTTTAGGACACTGTAAGAAAAATTATAACCATGCACGCCTGCCAATAATGCAAAATAAAACAGTAACTTCCTTAGTGCCTGTTTAAATATTTCTCGCTATGGTGCTCTATGTTGCCACAGTGCAGGGCAACTGCACCTGCATTCCCCCTCATGGTCTACCAAGATACTGAAACTTAAGTCAGTAAAGTCTTCCAAGGATAAGCAGGAAACTGCTATATCTGTTATATATGGAAACCCACAAAAGACCATGAAAACAACGTTTTGAGGCTAAGGTGGGCTTCAGCAGAACAAAAACTAACTGAACGGATTTTAAAAAATTGAATCTGGCCATGTATAATATTCCTAACTGCAAAAGTGCAAAAATCATGAGTGATCCTCAAAAATCATGATGATAAAAATATAAACTTTTATTTCTTGGTCTTTCTTTTGATTTTTGAATTCCCTCTGCCCACCTATGTCTGTATGACACTTAGTTGCCATCTTTCAAATTTATAGTGAGTAAGGTAATTTTGACCTCTGTTGCAGGAGCTTCTACTGGGGGATCAAAATAAAGTTGAGCACACAGTCCCCACCCAGACTGAGGAGCTTCAGTTAGGGAATTGGAAATTGAATGTGCTTTTGTTTAGTGTGAAGAGCTAGAAATCAGGACTGTGTAGTGAATGAAGCTGTTGTCCATAGCACCTTGGTCTCTCTTGTTGAGGAATTTGGAAGGTGTATAATTAATTAAGGAGGGGATTACAGAAAGAGAAAGGATGATCTTCTGTTTAAGGAAGTTGAATGCCAGCCTGGAAAATGGATTCTATTTCTTCCTCTGCATCAGAGTTCCTGTGTGATGCTAGGCAAGTTGCTTAAACCAATATTTTCAGTGATGGCCACTAATTGCATGTTCTTTTGATTTGCGGAAGTGCTGAGCACTCACAACTGCAATGGAAGTCAACTGGAGCTACTCTTTAAAGTGCTAGGTACTCTGAAAAATGAGGTCCTAGGTGACTTGAGTTGGACACCCAAAATTAGTGGACATTTTTGACAATTTGGGCTTTAATCAGCTCCACATCTGTAAAACAGGGATAAAAATGCCACCTATACTCACAGGAGTATTGTGAACATTAATAAATTTATGTTTCTGAAGTACTTGGATACTATGGTGACAGCACCATAGAAATGCCCAGAAGGAAATTATTAGTTCTGTATTCAGTGTAGGGTTTGGATGGCATATGGTCTAAGGTCACAGTGAGTACTGAATAAATATCCATGCACTGTGGAAAAATTAGTGTGTGATCTTGTAATTAAAGA